TTAAAATAGCAACTAACACATTGAGCATAAATTCCTTTATTGGCTTAAGGATATTAACTCCAACCATGTGATTCTATTAGGCATCTTTCTGAGATTGGTTACGGAATAGCAAATCCTGCTTTTTTCTACAGGGGGTTAGGCTACAAGACCAGCAACGTCCCTTTTGCCATTAGGACTGTATTACTTTTATTTGTATTATCAACCAAAATCTGGAATGGGCTGGGGCTATGTTAGATGCCTTACCAACTCAGGGATCATAGGGTATAAACATTCACAGAGTGGGAGAGAAGAGATCAGGGCAGATTCAGAGTGGGTGCTCTCGTGTTGTCCTTTTGGATCATGTGCAAACCTCTGGGGACTTAAACTCCCGAAAGTAGGTGAGAATCCCAACCCCTTCCCCTCTGTGCTCAGTCACACATCCTCTCCTCCCTTGGTGCTTTTCCTCTTGTCCCTGGGCACGGGAAGCATCAGAGATGCTCCTGTCCACTCCCGCAGGGCTGCATAGGGGCTGGGCTCAGCTGAGCTTGTCTGGGACAGCAGCAGTGGTGATGGGCAGAGGAGAGTTCCCCTCTGCTCCTGCTCCTCGGGGAATAGGCAGGGTTGGGGAACCCACTTATCAGCTCTACCACTGTCATTGACCCAACTAAGACCAACCTGTGCTGTCCAGCTGGTGCAGGCAGGAGTTGCTCTGAAGTTTCCCTGTGCCCCCAGGTCAGTGGGAAACAGCAGCGGTGAGTGGGGCAGAGGAGGAGAGAGGATGCAACTTTGAGCACACAGGGGATGCTCAAAGAAGTCCCCAGAGCAGATAATCCCACACATCCCCTGTGTGCTCAGAGTCACAAGAAGTCCCCAGAGGCTCCTACAGTGTGGTCTGCCACCACCTGCATGTGTGGGATGGGGAAGAAGCTGGGAGAAAGGGTGAGGACCCCCATGCAGTGTGGGTTGCTGCTCCTGTACCCTCTTTTGCCAAACCCTGGATCTGCCCCTGGAAGGCAGTATTATCTCCATTTTACAGAAGAGGCACAGAGAGTGTGTTACTTATGTCTTGGACCTAAGTCCCAAGATTGCCCTCATGCAGAAGTTATTCAGGAGCCTTCATCTCTACAACAGCAGGAAGTGGCTTTGTAACACCTCTGTGACAACTTGACTCTCTCTCTCTCTGAGGAACCAACATCTTTGTTTTTTGGTAGTATCTGCCTAGACTCAGAGACAATCATTCATCCCTGCAGCTTGAAGCAGCTGAGCATCATTCCTAAATAACATTACACTGTAATAGCCATTTTTAAAATAAGACCTGGGAATCAGAAAGGCTCAGCAACCGCAGAAGGAAACATATTGGTCCCTGCTTTGTGCTGTACGTGATGATTTAATGCATTGCCTAGACCGCTGCAAAATGAAAGCATTTACTGCTCAGGAAGACTGATGACCATTGTGGAGGGCCATTTTCAAACTCAGGAACAACTGCAAAGAGCTGGGGGAATGGGGAAGGGGGGGAAATCTTCTGCCAGCATTAAGGGCTTGAGCCAATTTTCACTGACATCCATGGAAGATCTTTTTTTTTTTTAATTTTTTTTCTTTTTACTTCAGAAAACTTTGGATCAGGCCCCATGAGCACTGTATGTATAACAAGGTAAAAGCATCACTTACTTATTTAAAAGACAGATTTTTCAGTGTAAAGAGAACTACTGCTCATCATCAGTTAAATATGCAACATAAGCAGCAGAAATGGAACAGATTTTATTATAAAAAAATTAAGCCATAAAGTTCAAGGAAGAATCATAAGTACTTAGGGGGACAAATGTTCCAGTTATTGTGTGTAGGTAGAAGAGAGTCATTCAAAACCTGGCTGAGTACACAAGCAAAAGTAGGTACTTTTTCATGCAACTAGGAGCCTGTCTGAAGAATTGGTATGAAACTCGATGATTGGGGGCTGGACTCAATGATCTTCCAAGGTCTCTTCAAGCCCTGATACCTATGAAATTTGGCTATATGCATAGCTATGGGCTGAATAGGAAAGTCCTATAAGCACACTGAAGCCGCTTGCAGGAGACGTGACCACGTTTACAAAGCAAGTGAATAACATGTACACATTTTGCCTCTAGTGCTTTGTATTTTTTATGTCTGGGTGCCTGTCTCATGCCCACGTGGTCATACATTGCAGCTAAGTGTCAGAATCTGTTCTTAAATAGTTGGTAGCTTATGTCCCAAGTGTGACATTTTTAGTTTTGAATGAATGGTAACGACAGAACCTGGCACACTTTAAACTTGAATCCAACAGTTTTAAGGTTTCCTTCTAAACAGGTAACAAATAATAAATATTGGTACCAGTTGCATCTAGTGCTTCGGGGGTGAGATCCTGGCTACCTCGGATTACTACACTTCTATGGTGGTGGGTCCCAGTGCTGGGGAGGAAGGGCCTAAACATGCCCATGCAAGTCTGCAGACGCATACCAGTGAGTTTGTCAGTGAGGTGGCTCTGAGTTTTGTCTGGCAATGTTTAATGTGTCATAAATAGAACATTTTATCATGTAAAATAGTTTGTTTCTCATTCCTTTCACCCCGCAAATATTTTGGCTGTAATCTGTATTTCCCGCTTGTTGCAGAGTAAGAATTGCTATTTACGCATAGTAAACAAATTTATGTGCTTTGACTCGAAAAGATAATCCAACGACTCAAAGGTCACATTTGCAATAACCACTCCATGGATCCTTTGTCAGACAAACCTGCAGCAAAGATGGCTATAACCGGTCAGAAACTAGTCAGTACTTCAGTTTTTGAAGATCGGTGGTCATCGGGGCAATACTGTGCTATCTGCTGTCAAATGGAGGCATTTAATTCATTCCTAATCTCATATTGAATTAAATGCCAAATTAAAATGTAGCTTTGCTTTGTGTATATCTGCACAGCCCCCATCAAATATAAAATTATGAGTAGCTTTTAACTACAGAGTAACTCCATGGCAGCTGGCAATAGCCTCAGACTGCAAATGCAGTTACTGTCTCTTTCATGGGTAAAAAACGTCCTTCACAGCAAAGGAAGAAACTGGAACTACTGAAAGCAAATGTGCCAAGGAACAGCCATTTTAGTAAGACTTAGTCCTGAAGCCTTATTATTCTCTCAATTCTGCAGGATTTCCTGCCTTGCAGCCTGAGCACCATTGAGTTTTGTTCATTTCATGGATTTTTAAGGAGTGAAATACCCTTATCTTGCATTATACATGCAATCAGACTTCTTTAAATTACTTCCTGCTTCAAGCCCAATATGCACGGCCAAGCTGGAACGTATCTCCTAAAATATTCCAGTGGCTGGAGAACCTGTGATAAATGATCTATGATAAATTGTTTCAGTGATTATCTTGCTATTTAAAAAATGGCGTTCTACTCACAACGTACTTGGCTTCAACTCCCAGCCATTGCCAGTTGGTTATACGTATATTTGATCAATTGAAGACCCTTCTATTAATTTTCTGTTTTCTTTGTACCTACTTACAGACTGCGAGCAAAGCATTTTTCGCAAGTAGAGCCACTTCGGCTTCTTACCATGAGGCAGGCTTTCCAATAGTTTGATCATACTTGAGACTGGAAAAGATTCAGTTACATAATATCTTAGTTGAAGCGTGGGCAGCACAACTAGATGCAATACTCCAGCAGTGGCAAGGTCAGAGGTAGTAGTATAGCCATCCTACTATTACTCAAGTCTCGTTCTTAAATTCAAAGATCGTGCTAGGTCAGTGATTTCCAAACTTCTCAGTTTCAGAACCCTTTTGTATCACTCCTTATGCCATGGACCCCCTACCGCCGGCTCCACGGGCCATGTGAACTCATGCAAAGTCAGGTGACCCAGCTTGGCGCTGGCAGCACACCACTTCACAGCCTACTCCATCATTAACCCCTGTCCTTTTGTGTAATCTCAGGGTCCCACAGGCACGGTTTGAAAACCACTATATTAGGTTTTCTGGCCACGGTAGAAACTCGTGTTTAACTGATTATCTACTCTGGTTCCTAGCTCCTGAAGTTTGTTCATTTTAAGAACTCCGTCCTGTAGGACAAATTAATTTTCAAAAATCTGATGCCAAAGGATGGCCCTAGAAGTATAGTTGTATCTAAATACTGGCATCAAATTATACTTCTAGGGCCATCCCTTGGCATCAGATTTTTTAAAATAAACTCATCTTACAGGATAGAGTTCTTAAAACAAAACTATGGCTCAGTAAAGTACTAAATGATTGACTGACTGGACTATTTACTGTATGCAGGACAATACTTAACAATAGTGAAATTTATGGTGTGAAAAAATGAGCACAGGCCTTAAGCTCTGCTTAGGTGATCGAAGTTCAGTTTGAACAGTTTCCTACCGTTTATGCTGCCTCATTACTGTACGCCACTACACTGGGTGACTTTCATTTAACAAACAAGTTCTCTCAGAAAATTTATTGGAGCCCAAGAGGTTGTGCGCACAAAGATCTTGGGTTTGATTAACTTTTTGGGACTTCAAGGCAGGGCAATTCGTCACCATTTGAGGGTCAGCTGCCATGACAGTTTCCAGTTTCTGGACTGGGGCAGGGGTCTGAAAACCTTGGGAGCTTCATCGCTAGTCAGAGTTCAGTTCTTGATGCTGCACTGGGGAACCTGAGAAGATTGAAAACCCTGCCTCTGACCAGAGCTTCTGATCCCCTTGCCCTCCCTCCCCACAACTGGGGCAATGAGCCTCAAGGTCTAGAAACAGCTCCCAGAGGCTGGGGCACAGAGGCAGCGTATGGCAGGTTTGCCCGAGAAACTGAGACACCAAAACGGTGGCTTCTGAAGCTTGACTTCAGTTCAGTAAGAGAACGTCAATTTCACCGACCAGACGAGAGCTTTTTAGATCAGTGGTTTCCAAGTTGTCTCCTTTTGCCCAAGCTCACGACTCCCCTCCTGGCTGCAGTCCTCTCTCTCTACCAGCTTCAAGTAAAACATGAATGGACACTTAGGAGAGCAAGAGATTGGTCACTCCACAACAGATTGGTACCCCACGTCCTAGCTTTATTGACTGCAGTCAAGTTTTTATTATGCCTCAAATAATTAAATACTGCAACAGTGACATTAAAAATACAGACCAATTTACCAAAATAATTGTATTCTGAAGATTATGTACATATTATACATTTTACAGTATTATGTAAACTTTTTCTTCTTTTATACATAAGGTAAATTTGATTTATGGTAACTAGAAAACCCAAAATGCATGCTGACAAAAAATATTCCTATCAAATGGAAGCAGCATGAAGATGCTTTGAAAAAATAATAATAATAATAATCAGGAAAAATTAAGATGAACTATAAAACAAAGTATAACAGAGTTAGTAGAAAATGAATTAAATTACATTCATATCAAAAAGTTAAACTAAAAAAAAATATGTATCATTTAAAAAAAATTAAGTGGGAAAGGGAACTCTACAATATATTAACACCTTCATGGGCAGCTATGGTATGCCTCACCTCCAGCAATGGAATTCTCCCAGGAAATCCAGATCCCCATTCTCCAGCATTAATTCAAGAGTACCATGGATGATTATATATTGTCCTTTGGCCTAACTTCTTTAAAGTAAATTAAATAGCCAAGGTGTATCACATTACTGCATATTTTCATGCATCTTGATTATGTTCATTATAGAACTTGGCATCCTTATTACCAGCCTACCAAAGGCTAGTATGGTTAGCATTTTGACATGCAGTGCTAAGAGGGAAACAAGAGATGTTGCAGTGCGTGCTTACAAGAAAGTTTGTCTCTGGTTTACTTTTTCACCATCAAGTACAACAATGAATACAGAAATACCTCCAAAAATCTGGAAGTTAAACTCAGAGATGATGCCCTGCACCAGTCAAATTCACTCATTTAAATTCCATAAGCTTATTCAACAAGTGATCGTTAATATTTTTTTATATAAAGTATTTTGTACACCAAACTCCTCCTCTTGTAAACCTTCAGTGTTCCTGTACAGAATGTAGTGTTAAATAGGAGTTGAAATGATTGGACTTTTCATTGCATGCCAATTGTGTGAGGAGTTTTCTATGTCCTGTACTGATAATTTACATTTACCAGTAAGCTATCTTTCTCATTATCTGCTGAAGCAGATTGCAACTGAAGCACCTAGTTATGAGCAGTATAACATCGTTTAATACAACAGTATATAAGCAACTGTTAAGATTAACAGTTGTTAACCTGGCTCTATTTCTAAAGCTTTTGCAGCTTGCATGTTTTAAATTGTAACGTGTCTACAAAAGTAAGGCCTGTTCCTGCAAACGCTTGTACTGGTGATTACCTTTAGGTATGCAAGTAATCTCTAAAGAAACTACTTGAGCGCTTAAAGTTAAAACCCTATAAATCACTGCAGGACTGCGACTTGGGTACATAATTCGGCTAGCCCTTGCCTGGCAAGTATTGTAGTTAAAGGCAAAATTTCAGTGACTCAGGCTGAGCAGTTTCAGGCACTAGATGTCTCTCTTATGTTACAATGCATCCTGAAGTTGCAACATTTGGACAATATGAAAATTTACATTTTATAGCAAAATTGTTTTTTTAAACATCTCCAGGTTTATGAAAAATGAGATCTATCCTATTGTATTTGTTCTTTGTGTATAGCTTTAGTACAAAAAATGCTAATCTAGAATATCAAAATAGTGTATTCATATAAATGTATGAGAGCATCTAATAAAAAAAGTAAAAAGCATAAAAGGCAAAACTTTAAATTTCTGTAATTAAATACTCTAAAAAAAAAGTTCAATTCAAGAGGGAATCTTGTTTTCAGTGAAGGATTACATCTCCCCTCGTCTGCGGGCTTTTGCTACAATAGCACCACCTTCTTCCTCCTCCTCTTCCTCATAATTTACTTCATGGCCTTCTTTTTGGTGGTTCTCATCTTGCACTTCTGGTTCTTGATCTGCACCATCATTGGTTTTTTCATCAGCCTGAAAAGAGAAAATAAAGACAATTCAATAAAATAGGTTTAATAATTTTTAAAAAGTCACTCCACGGTAAATCCCAACACCCGTGGCTGGGTTCAGGTGACATTCTGGTGCAGGACAGAACTTCTACCCTGAGAAAGGGAGGACAAAGGGGACTTAATATTCTAACGCTCTGGAGGATGAAATGTCATAACCCAGAGTCCCTATATGCCAGTCCAGCTAAATACTAGGCCTTCTGAGGGGGCTGTAGCTGGAACGAGAACAACCTCCTCCCCTCCCCCCCAAAAAAAGACTCATGCCCTTTTAGAAGCTAATCTTACTTTGCTTCAAACCTAGCAACACAACTGCATCCCCATCTAGCTGCTCTCAAACCTCATCCACTGGTTTGCTTGATGTGTTTGAAAGTTTGAAACTCATGACTGAGAGCTACACTATTAGGATATTGTCTTCCCCACCATGCTAGGATTGCAGCTTTCCAGTAGGTATCAAAACCTCCTGTTTTATTGTGTTTGTGGGTTTACCCAGTACCTACATTTTCATCATTTTCACCATATGGCTCTTCACCATTGTGTTCCAGTTCCCTTTTCTTTTCTTCGGTTAAGTCTTCCTGGACCTAACGGAGCACAAATTCACAGGTTTGCACATTTGTGGGTTCTTTTAAATGTATCCCACAATTTCTCTGCTTTCCAAGCAGCTATCTGAATTCAAAGTACAGTTTTCATACAGCCCTTCTCACCACCAGCCAACATGTACCCAACCTACTTTTTTATACCAGGTGTGCCCCCTCATCCAAAAATAAAACTACTGTATTACAGTCGTGTAGCCATAGTGCAGCACCAAGTTCTGGTTACAGCAATCCCACTGGGGGCTTGCGGAGTTCCAAGTCTCAGCCTTGATACATGGTTCAAACAAAATAATAGTAATAGCTTCCTCCTCAATCCTCGCTATATCTGTAGTGAGTCTGAACGCTGAACTCCTAAAATAGCAGGAAAAAGACGGAGAGATCACTTCACCTCCTTCCTCCTTGTGGCTTCTGGCCAAGCTTTCCAAACAAGCAACCAACTGTTCCACCCTTGTAACCCGCGTACCACTTCCTTCATTCATGTGATTGCCTCCCCTTCTGCTAGTAACTCCTTTCTCTGGTCTTGGTCAATGAAGATGTCAAACCTGCCCTTTTCCTTCTTGAAGTAAAAAGTTCTCCAAATTGGCCCTGGGTTTCCTCTCCATAAAAAGTAGCACTGGATTTTTACTTAGTCTAGTGTAGCAAAAAGCTGTTTAAAAATAGCTTATCACCAAGCTTTACTAACTTGATAACCTTGAGGTACACTGCAGTAAGCCTGTATCAATTTCACTTAGCAGCCTGTTTAAACAGAGTTAAACAGATGCAACTTCCTCAGGTTAAACAAGCCCCAGCCCCCTAAACTGGAGGTAATCCCTTTCTTCCCTACCCTTCCTCCTACTTCACCCCCAATACAAGTCAGGGAAAGCCCCTTGTAAGGAGACCTTTCCCTCAGTACAAGGATTTCTAACTGAGAAGGATCAATAAGAGTTGGTTCTGTTTTCGGTTTACAAGTGCAAAGTCTTGTGAGCTATTTCTGCTGATATAAACAGAGAGCAGCATTTAGTGTCTGTCATTTATTTGTAACAGGATTACAGCCATAACCTTGATATGAAATTTTAAATCTCAGTCTGTATCCTTCTTCATTATCTGTAGCATCACAAGTCTGGAAACCTTTAAAACTGTGTCTCATTTTATTAGATAGCCCTTAAGTACCATATCACATAAATTAAAACGTCTCTAGATGGGATTCTTGGTTGTTTTTCTGAAGGAAGACTTAGCAAGTCGAGTTCTTTAGCTCTTTTGGTCCCAATTCAGTAGTGTATTTAGACATACAAGTAAAACCATTGTTTTAAATCCTGCGAATTCTAATCCATGAAGTGCACCCAGGAAGTGAATTAATTTATGGTTAATAAACCACCACAACAAACCTGCAAGAAGTTTTCTGCTTGTCCCATGTAAACCAAGTTCTCACTGACAGTGCTTAAACCCTAGGAGCTCTGCTAGCAATGCCAGCATATTCTAGACATTGTATTCTGAACTCTTTTACAGTGAATCTCTGGTCAGAGTGATTCTTCATAAGCAAGTACGACTACTTGATCATATTTGCTGCTCTGTAGTACAGTGTCCTGGGGCCCGAGGAAGCCGGGAAAACTTACTTGGAAGGCAGGACAAGAGAGATGCCACGATGGAGGGAGAGCCCGTGCGGCTCGTTAGCTGCGTCTATGTGCAGCTGCGGCCGGCAGCTGAC